AGAACTCAGGGGCAGTCTCTCCGACTGCAAGATCCAAGGCCGTTTTGACCTTGGGTGCGGAGTTGGGAGCAAAGGCTGCTGCGCTTCCAATAAGAGCGACGGTGGAAAGGAGAGAGAGTTTCATTTTGTTTGGATTTGTTTTGTAAAAGGTTGCGTTGAGAGATGTGACGATTGGTTGGAGGGTTGAGATCTTGTTGTTTGATGGGACAACGTCAGATTTTGGGAAGACTGAGTCAGACTCTCATAGTCGTTTTAGGTAGTTCACGACGGACAATCACAGTATTGCGTTCGCAAAAATAAAGCGAACCAGCACCATCACCAAACCGTTACTATTTTTTAAATACCGGTGTAGTCCGCCCATCGGTCTACTAAAGTAACCGTTCAACCTCTTTAGCCCTTCTTGAAGAATAGCATCGGTGGCTCAAATGCGCAAGGTTTTTAGCAGCCAAAGAAGTAGTTGCCGAGACATCAGAGGTATCTGACTGACATCATGACTCCTGTCTGCTATGATTGCTGCTCCCTCCTATGATAGCGCTTCCTTACAATGAGAGGCCTTTGAAATCAATTGAGACAATTCTGCAGTCGAATTCACAAAGTGATAGAGTTGGGTTGGTAGTATTGATTCGCTCAATTGAAAACGAACTGTTGCGTCGCCACGTTGAATTACCTCTTACCGTTTCGTTGATGAGTCACCTCGGCATGCAATTCCGAATCGCAGTTCCTCAACACGCAAAATGTGTCTGACGTTCACACAAGGACTGGTACTTTTCTGACCGCGAAGTTCTACGGGTTGACCAATATGACCCATTTTCCGCCCTCGGAAGTTTTTCAAACCACACAAACGTCAACCGAAGAGAAAAAGTGAAGCAAAAGTTCCAAAAAAGGCACCATGAGGCAACTTCAAACATGCATGGAGCTCATACTGCTTGCTGGATTGTATTCACATCAAGCTGACGCGTTTGGCACTGGCCTGAAAGCAAGTCCACCGCGATCGGCAACCTTATTCCCTTCGACGAGACAAAACGTTGAATCATCGTCAAATTTCGCACGACCGATAGATCGAATCTTTGCTTTGCAAAGCTCAGCCATCGACCCCGATGATGGTGAAGCAATCTTTAAAGCAGTGGATGATTCGTCCATGGGAAAGAAAGAAAGCTCCACAAAGCGACTTCTCTGGGCGTGCATGGTCCTCATGTTCGCACAATTCTCATCCAACTTCC